TCCTTTCATTTGTACTTCAAATAATTCTTGAAATTTTTTCACTCGGGGGGTAATTTTTCAATAATTGTAGCCACTTGAAATGTTTCACTCAAAATCATTCATTCGGCATGAATTTCGTGAAGAATCACTTGGAGTTTTTGCACTTGACTTTTAACTGTTTTCGAGTCCACCATTTTATAATCTAAGAATCTACCGACAATAAACTTTTTAGTCCCGACATCCTCAGTTTTATATTTTTGGTCCAACGATTCCCACAACTCCTTAGCAGTTTTCATATTACTGTATACATTTTATAGCGTGTCTACTAAACTGTTTACAATGTAGTTTCGGCACAAAAAATTTGAATGCTTTCAAGCATTAAGTGTATTGATTGCTTGAGCATCTCCCTCAATCATTGAATTTTAGAGCAATCTCAGTCAAGAATCTCACAAGATTCAAAGTGGTAAGGTAAAATAGCATATTCTGTTGCCACCTTTTGGAATTCAAGCCATTGAACTTCTCCAATTTTTCTCCATGATTAACTGGAACATTAATGATATGACTAATTGTTGTAGCCAGTGTTTGACTCACAACTTAACTTGGCAATTTAGCTACAGTCTGAGCCACAACAAATCTTGACCCTTAAGCCAAGCAGAGCCCATAACCTGATTTCCAGTGGCATAGTTTGGATCACATCCATGTTGGTTGATTTAGTTGCCATTTTTGAAAGTAAAAAAAAAAAAAATTAGTTTCTAAAAATTAACAGTATAATAAACCAATTTTTTTTCAGGCGAATCTGTTTTAAGTTTGTTATAATTTAGTGTGAGTGGATGAAATCGGATTCATTCATACCGTATATGCAATTTACATATTGGATTTATGCATACCGTGTATGCAACATAACGTATTTACACACATTGTATATACAAATTACTGTATATGCATATTACCATATTTACAACTTACCATATTTGCAGCATTCCGTATTTGCAACAACAGACTGTATTTGCAACAATTTATCGAATTTGCAACAGTTTATCGTATTTGCACCAGCATATTGTATATGCAACAACTTACCGTATTTGCATATACCGTATATGTAGCATTCTGAAAATTTGGGAGAAACTGTATTTCGTTTTCTTTAGTCAATTTGATTTTATTTAAAACATAAATAGAAAGACAAAAATAATAAAATTGCAGATTATATAAATCACATGAATAAATTGCAGACGTAGATAAAATTGTAGGAATTCAATAAATAATGGATGAAGTTTCAACCTAAGGCCTGTGCGAGCACAGTTTCCTTAAAATAGATTCGTCCTCTCACCGTAAGTGTTTGATATTTAATCTAAGTATTTGTTTCCTTAGATACAACGGTAAACCAGTAGAATCTGAGCACTGCAGAAACTACTCCGATGAACTGAGTTAATATTCGAACAATATCACCAATAAAACGAATGTAGACATAACAATAACATGCAGACTATTTTCGTGTATGCGTGTGTTTTTTTGGTGTATCAGAATTGCTGGTAAGTGAGTCTTAATATAAGATAAATCTATCATTAACTCATCACTTCAGTTTTTACTGAAGTTTTAGCAGTTTCAGAAACTCAAAAGTCAGTTGGAGAAAGCAAAAAATTGCAAAATGTGGACACTCCGAACGGGCCAATTTTTGCTCCGTTCGGTCCAACATTCGTGTACGCAGGTCGCGCTCGCACACAAATTCAAAGTTCGAAAGCTATTTCGGTCCGTGATTTGCATTCCTTACGTGCGCATGTGGAGAGAAACTCTATGCTACACATGATTACACCCTTCCAAAGTATAGCTATATATAAAAACGTTCATGCTTTCTTCTTTTTTCTATGTGGGACAAATCTAATTTTCTCACATAAATCATCTTCAATGGTCAATTTTGAGCTCCAATTTCTCATTCATCCATTCATCAATTTTGGCAAGTAAATATATGATTTTGATGCTCTCACGGAGGAGAACACAAATCAACTTTGATATTCCAAATTGGACCAACAGATTCGATCAAAAATTGTGCCAAAAGTGAGCCATTAACTCAATTTTTCCAATAGCTTGTCGATGTCGGGCACATGAACATGTTTTGTGATGGAGACTTTTGGTCACTGTTTTAAAGAGTTCGATTATTTCGATGCAAGTGGATATATTTTTCCAGGTGGAGAAATTTTAAAGCTTCGTTCGTTGTACCGGAATTTGGGTTAATGTGGAAATTGTTGAGTTTATGACTCAAATTAGGAAAAAAAAATGTTTCTTTATTTTCTCATGGAAAAAATTGTTTTATTATTTTCACATGATTTCATTGGAAATATATTATTTCCTTATTTCACATTATTTCCATCTTTATGGTATGATATGTACCTAAAAATAGTGACATCTTCTTTTAGTTTAGTTCAAGCCAAAATTGTTGTGTTGTAATTTTCTCTCAATATCGTCGTTATAATAAAACATCGTTTCTTCTTATTGACTCTCTTTGATTTCTCTACTTCAAATCTTGTTTCATCTTTGTGATCTTGTTATGTATTTCATACATCGTCATTAATCTCAATTCTTGCGTTGCCTTTGGGATCAACAACCACTTGCAAACATTATATAGTGCAACTTCTCTTAAGTTTACAAGCTGCAACAAGAACAATTTTATTACTCATTACAAATCCAAAACTCTCAAAAATACTAAGAGAGACTAGAAAACTCCAAAATCTAGTCTAAGAATCAGTTTTCTTTGCGTATTCTAAGGAATAGTAACATATTTCTTGTATCTCTTCTATGCAAACTTTTGATACCGTATGAACTTAATTAATTTTCTCAACTTTGGTACTGGCGAATTGAATTCATAAATTGACTGCAATAAGCTATCAGATGTTGGGCAAGGATATTGGTATTGATATTGGAAATCGGATTTTCAACTCTAATTTCAATCTGGCTAGGCGTCTGTTGTGGCTAAATATCTTCTGATTCAACTACTGGTTGATTTCTAACATGAGTCTCGAGTATCTAAGGAGGGGCATGACTTTGCACGAGAAAACTCCGACTAATCATTGCATTCAAGTTCTGGTTCTAATTCTTAAATTTTCAAATATCTTATCCTCTGTCTGCTTCTACCTGCTATTAAGTTTCTAAACATAACGATCCAGTAAAAAATGGAGGAAAAACACAAGCAAAGAAAATGTAAACATCGGTATTTTACAATTCCTTCGACATTATTGAAATCACTTTAATATGTGACTAATGCACAACTCGTGTTATATTTTATGTTAAGTCAGGCTGTGAAAAGAGAGAAAGATTTAAATGAACATATTCAACCAGTTCGAGCTTTTAGATGATTTTTAGACGAGCCACTTACTGTATGCTTTGTTTGGTGAAGCTTTTTGAAATTATAAGCGGCGCTGTATGTACTTCACTGGACATAAAGTGTAATGGTGATTATTAAGTGACGAGGCTTGGTCTTTATGAGGTAATTTGTGTTGTATATAAAAAATGTTTGTTGAAATCCGAGGGACGGAATTGAATTAAAGCAACAGAGCTGAATATATTATTTTTGGCTGTTGAGTTAGTCATCTTCAGTTAATAGTTAATTCATATTTTTCTGGGATTTTGAATATCCTAATATATGCTCATCTTCTTCATTAGCATATAAAATTTGTGAAAACGCATTTATCTCTATAAGAACGGTGCATTCTGAGGTGTGAAGTGAGAGAGAAGGGATGTCGTAATTGGGATTTTGAGTAAGACGACCTTGCTACCCTCTAAATCAGGTACTTATATGTTAGATCATTTGAAGAAAACAGTTTCTGCATGCTTGCAATACCTTTTAAATCATATATATATGTTGGTAGTAGAGCATTAAACGATGTTGGACAAGCAAATACCCAAGTTGCAAAGTACATTTCTATGTGCGCGCAAACTTGACAGCTCCTACTACTGACATTGGAATGAATCCCGCAATCTTCCAAGCAGTTTTCAGTAGAAGACCTGAAAATGGAAGTTGCAATAGGGATCGTGCTGTGACTAATGACGCATCGAATAAAGGCTTTTGAAACTAGTTTTCTCTTATTCTGAGGATGATAGCGCTATTGCAAGGAAACCCCCTGCTACTGGTATTGCAAAGAATTCCTCTAGTGTTTTGTGCCAATTGCAGATCAAGAAATGAGTAGAGACATCTTTTCACTGTTTCGAATAGAGTAGTAGTGGATCCATATATGAATAATGTCACAGCAGTTAAGCAAACGTTTGTTGCGTGATCATGTTAACTATGATAAATTGCTTTGTTCTTTTTTTTTTTTTTTAAACACGTTTTGAGGCATGTGAAATTTGACTTTTCTCATGGACTACTCCACTTGATTTAATTTATGTGGCTTTGGTCGTTATGGTGTTGATATATAATTATATACGGAAGGAAACAAAGACAAATTGATAAGAAGTAGAAAGTACACTTTTCTTGCACTTAGCTATTGCAAGGAAACCCCCTGCTACTGGTATTGCAAAGAATTCCTCTAGTGTTTTGTGCCAATTGCAGATCAAGAAATGAGTAGAGACATCTTTTCACTGTTTCGAATAGAGTAGTAGTGGATCCATATATGAATAATGTCACAGCAGTTAAGCAAACGTTTGTTGCGTGATCATGTTAACTATGATAAATTGCTTTGTTCTTTTTTTTTTTTTTTAAACACGTTTTGAGGCATGTGAAATTTGACTTTTCTCATGGACTACTCCAATTGATTTAATTTATGTGGCTTTGATAGTTATGGTGTTGATATATAATTATATACGGAAGGAAACAAAGACAAATTGATAAGAAGTAGAAAGTACACTTTTCTTGCACTTAAAAATAAAGCGGACTTTTTTCGTAGTACGTTGAATTTAAATCCACAAAAGTATTATTTTATTAAGAGATTTATACAATACGACAACTAAGGTACTAACACTTCAAACTTATATTGTTTAATTATATGAATAAAGCTGAACTGTTAGAAGAAATTTAACATAGATGCTGACAGATAGACACATTGTCGTGGGACCCGATTGCATAAAAAATATCCAAAAAAAAGTGGACCCTCCCTCTATTGTGAATATTCTGTCAGTGGGTCGATTACTCATTTGCTAGCATTGTAGCATATTTGTAATTACATGGAGCACTTTCAACAAGTCAGCATTCTCTCCTATATCTTTCTCTTTGCTCACGCAATACATACAAGATACATCTCCAAATGTCAAGATTTTTCAAATTTCTACAAAAGTTGGTAGGCTTCAAATTCTACCAGAATTTTCTGCAAAAGGCGATGATGATTTGTTCATATCATTGTGGTTCCTTTTATTAGAAAAGCCTGTGCTTACCAGGTCGAAACATAAACTTTGATGCCCAGCATGTTGAGTGGATTAAGGAAATCCATAACCTACAATTTAGCACTGCATATAAAGTGATTGGAAGCATGGCAAGAGCAGCAACAAGTCTCGGTGTCCCTTGCTTTTCTTCCTTGTAGACCAAAAAGAAGGTTGCACTAAATGTTAAGTCCATGCAAACGATTGAAGCAAAGAGTGTAATTAGTCCAACCATCAGCTTTGCTGGTAATGAAAATAGAAAATCATCTTCTCCATATCGTGATGTTAAGATAGACAAGAACATCATTATGGAAGCTGTAGAGCTAAACATTGCCACAGCATCAGATATAACAAAAACTGTGAACCACCCATCAGTCAAGAAAATTGGAGCGCCTGTTTCTTTCTTATTCCCGCCAGGTATGGTAAAGGCGGCAGCAAACGCAACTGTAGCAATTAAAGTTGCCACAACCATACAAGAAGTTGCTGTGTCCTTCATCCACTTCTCACCAGCTTTCCGTAAATTCTCATGCTCCATCGTAAACAACTCCCTTGGTGTTTTATCTTTATTGTTTTTCATGTGAAAATAGGAAGGTCGTACAATCTTCTCCACCTCCTGTAAAGCTTACTCAAATAGTCAAATTATGTATGTTGCAAAATCATCCAAAATTCAATTTTTTTATTACATAGAATAGTCTATAGGACTCCAAGAAATTGGATGTATTCATAATACAATTTGTCGTGATGCTATAAAGTGTTTCTATTCTCTTCGAGAAGGAGACTTGTAATCAAGTTAATTTCTCACCTTAAACCATAGTAGCTCTCTCTGCATTTGAAGAGCTGGTCCAGATACAATGTTAAGTCTACTTGGAGGTGCTAATTTCCCGGCCAAGTGCAAGATGTTGTTTTTATCATTATCTCTATAATATGTATTAAAATCCTTAGCAGTTCCTATTTGATAGATGAGACTGAACACTTTCTCTTGTCGGTTGATAACAGCAACATGAAATACCGAGTACTTGTTTGAGTCGACAATCCATGTAAGTTCAGGAAATGATTGAGTAATCTGAGTTAGAAACTCAACATTCCCTATTTTTGCAGCATCATGAAGTATCTGAGTTTCTTGAATTAAGATGCCTGAGTCTAGTAGTATCATCGGAATCTTTTCCCACAACATCATTACCAACTGACTGGCTTGTCTCTGCCTTTGAAGTGAGCTATATATCCTTTTGAAATCTAAACATCTAAGCAAAATTAACATGTGGACTACAAACCTAAAGATTTCGAAAAACTAGGAGTAAACTGGCATTCATTCGACAGTTCTGAAATTCATCCTTGTTTAGTTCGACTAGACAATAATATAATGAGGGATAATTAGAACCTTCATTCATATGTCATTTCAGCCACATGAACTTTTATTAAAATTTGTTAAAAATTTGATTTTAATCTTCATCAAACAGGGGCATAATAAGATAAAATAACATGACCACATACATATTTTGAAGTGCACGAGTCATAAGGACAAAATTACAACATCTTCATCAATGAGGCAATGATCCAAGGATAAATTTTATCTAGTTAGTAAAATTTTTATGGATGGCAGTACTTTACCAAGTAAAAATGAGTGGTTTAACTTGTGGAAGAGTGAGAAAAGTTTATGGACTTACATGGAATACAAGGTATAGCAGCAATGATGCTAACAAGTCTTTCCCATATCCATCCTTCAAATTTGTGATTGTGTGATAAATGTTTTTGAGCTAAAGCTTGTAAAGCACTTTCTGTGCTGATCGTTTTTGAAGTAACTATTCTTGTAGTTTCTTTCGACATCTTTAAAGCAATATCTGCTCAAAAAGAAAAACAAGCGTATTAACATGCGAAAATAGTGAGACCTATTTAGTGAGTTGAACAAAGAAGAAACATAATTTTATGTGAGTCTCTTTAAAATAAAAGGATTTCATACCATACATGTCAGCACGGATCGCTTCTACAAGAATATCCATATATTCCTTGTCTCCGAGATATGCAAGAGGTGTAATTGGGTAAAGATATTCAGCCATTTCTGTGTTTCTGAACCAAATTGCAATTTTAAGTGGTGTGTATCCGCTTTTACTTCTAACTGGGTTATATCCACTTTTACTTCGAATTGTTGGCAAATTCTTGTTTTTATGGTACATGACCTTCGCAATTTCAACGACTCCTGATACAGCTGCAGTACAGAAAGCTGTATATCCATATTCATTCTTCAATTCCAGTTCACTTTCTTTCAAGCATTCGACTAGATTGCGGACAAAAGCAGTTTGCTTGGCTGACACAGCTATGTGAAGAGCTGTATTTCCTTCTTTTGTTATCTTAATATTCCAAGCTATATTTTTGTCCAAACTCACAGTTCTTTCAGCAGCTTTCCAATCACCTTTTAGAGCAGCTTTGTGTAATGTGTTTACTCTTCCTGATGATGTTCGGGAAAACCATCGTTATTGTGTTAAAAATGCATAAAGCTCCACAACTTTACAAGAAATACCATGTAGCACGCATAAAACCAAAGGATAAATGAACCAGTGTAGATAAGGTATACAATCATCACATCTTGATACACTAACGATCCAACTTCTATGCTCAAGCTGCTAACTTAATTACATACTATTCGCTCAAGGAGAGCCTAAGTCCTTAGCCTTCACAAATTTCTATTGCATCGTGTATCTATGATTCGAACACATGACATTCTCTTAATTTGTGAGGGCTATGATGAACTAGTCTCTCCGAAAGTGGACAATACGTAAGTTAACAACCTGGGCGCAGAGGTTAAGCCGTTACAAGTACACTAAAAGAAATCAAGTGGTTTAGCATTGTAACAGAGCTCATGAACTGCAAATGAATAATTCGAGTTCGAAGATTGGTGTTCACAAATGATACACCATATTGTGGAACATAATAAGTGTAAATTCCCACATTGGCAAATTATGAAGATAATATGTGATATAAATGGGCTTGGTCTACTCTCTCAGTAAATATTTACCTTTTAAGATAATATCCAAGGACTCATTAGCATATATACATTTATTGGAAAATGAAAAACGGAAATGATTATATTATAGATGAAAAGATTATCTTAATGTTTGGAACTGAGAGAGAAAAGCCATGGTTACTATACTCAATCAAGAATTGAAGTCTCCGTTTTCTTAAACATAAGATTTGAAATTGTACCACTAACACTGGAAAGAAAGCTAATGAAAGTATTGCATTTGTTCAGAAAAATATAATTAGTTTGCTCAATTCATGACGTGAAAAACAATATTCAAAAACTTACTTTGATGATCAGTCAGATGTGCATTGGCATTGGTATTTGGAATTAGACTTTCAACTGGAATTTCAATCTGGTTATCCATGTTTTGCAGCTGTCTGAGAACTGATAACTAGCTATTAATTAAAAAGTGGTCGAGTTAGAATGAAACCAAGAACATCGGTACAACTAGAATGGTCGATGATATAAAGAATAATTATGATAACATTTCAAGACTAATTGTACTACTATCATTGCGATTCATTCAACTGCTCATAAGATAAATAAATGATATTGTTATTGAATTACCTCAACAGCTTCACCGTATGTATTTCACTGTAGGAAGGGACTAAATGCTGATTATGAAGTACAGGAGCTCAAGACTAACAAAGATTTTCTCTGTGTATGCTGTGAAAAGTGAGAGTTGAAATACAATACAGAGATGGCTCTATTATTAAAAATAATGTATAACAAGATAAATATCTGTAGAGATCATATTATATTATATTTAATTTGTCACGTAATCTTTTAATTTGACTGAATGTAGATTATGGCTGTCTAACTAATCATAAATGTCCACATGCAAATTATTTTGAAAACCAAAATTGTCAGTATAGAAACCGTGAGGTTTCCTCTCTCTAACCGATGTCAAGATTATGGGGTTTTGCCATCTACTTACCATAACGCATAAAGATAGACTTACTTTCTTTTTTTATTTGATCCAAATTATAGGTCACTTTTATTGTTAAGATATAGAAAATTTCTTAATTTTCTAAATATGTCCTCATCTAATATATGAGATATGTGAGATTGTGTGCCTATTTCACTGTCAATTGGATAGTTTTTGGTAACTGGAAACCATGGTGCTACGTAAATAATAAATATGGAGACTAAAATAATTAGAAAAATAGAACTGGGTCCTATTTGTCATTAAATGACTAGGTTGAAAGCTGAGACTGCAAATTTTCCTCGCTTTTCGGTCCCTAGATCATGAAAAACGTGCATGTTTGATTCTCATAATTGTGCCATGGGATTTGCTATATGTACACTGGTGTACAAATAGCATAATTCTTGTGACATGATGTTGATTCTTATCATCACTCTAAGCCAAGAATGATATGAGTGATTGTTGATAATCCACGTGTACTCGATAATTGCTTTTCAAGTTTATTATGTAATACTAAAAGACAGTCACTATCACTCCTAGAAGAACTATAGACATCAATAGCAATTGAATACTAGATGCAGTAACCCATCTCTTCATTTGGGTTAGTGTTCGGGTCAATTCTAAAAATCTTGTTGACGAGGAAGGCTAACAAGTTTTTTCTTTTTCTTTTTGGTCCATTACGAAATGAGATATCAAATATAAGAGACTCGTTGCATATTTCACGATCAAGTAGTTTTTGCTAACTAGGAACCGTGGTGCTATGTAAATAATAAATAGGGGACTAAAATGATTAGAAAAATTCAACTGGGACCTATATGTAATTACATGACTAGGTTGAAAGCTAATACTGCAAATTTTCCTTCCTGCCCAGTCTTTGGATGTAAAAAACGTACTTGTTTGATTCTCATAATTGTGACATGATGATGGTTTTTCTTCTTCTTATTATATATATATATATATTTTGAATAATTCTTAAGTAGAAACATTATATACAATAGATATAGATAGCAATGGAACAATTCCCAATAATCCACGATCATTCGGGTTAGTGTTAGTTCAAATATGAAAAATATAGTATTGCTTATAGATCAAGGATGAAGACTGAGGGATTGAAAAATAAAAATAAAATAAAAAAATAGAAATCTTACCGATCTATCTTAAAAATTAAGGGGCTGTTTGGGCCTGATTTTTTCACCCAAAAAATTGATTTTTTGACCGTTATTTTACTATTTCAGCCGTCATATTTGACTTCTTCTCTCACAGGTGGACCCCACTTTTCTTCTAACGGTCAAAAAATCAATTCTCAAAATCACTCCCAAACAGGCTCTAAATGAGTTTGGAGGCAGTCCAGAACTCCTGCTATAGAGCTGGCTTGAAGGTTTTGATAAAACTGTCTCGTCTCATTTAATTTGTGTCTTATCAAGCTAATTAAATATCTTTTTTCGTCTCCATTTACTTGTTTATCACAGATAAATTTCATTCAGTATCCACATTAATTCTTATTATTATTATTATTATTATTATTATTATTATTATTATTATTATTATTATTATGTTTTTGCAGTTGGAAAACACTAAGAGTGTGTTTGATTGACATGGAAAATATCACTTAGAAAAAAAAAATATTTTCCATCTTTTGTGGAAAATAAAAACCACCTCTATCCAAGGAAAATATTTTCCTTAAAAACAAGGAAAATTAGGCATGTTTTCAAAAGTTGGAAAATATTTTCCATGGAAAAAAATAGTAATCAAACACTCCAAATGAAAATTTGGATGGAAAACTAATATTTTCCATAGAAAATAAATGTAATCAAACGCACCCTAATATCTTATACATTTTGGCTAGAAAGTTTGAAGTTGACGAAGAATGGACCTCGTATATAATATAAATTAACAATGACAGTAATTTCAAGGTTAATTAGACATCAAACTACATCTAGAAACCTAAAATAAAGTCCGCAAGATGACAAGTGATTTAAGGTACTCATTTAATTTTCTAACAAGAAAAATATTTTTTTTAAAAAATAGAAAATTTTTTGAGGGCACAAGATAAGAGTTGATCGAATTCGCAAAAATCTTATTGACGAAGAAGGCTAATAATTTTATTTTATTTTATTATTATTTTTATTTTTCAATTTTTGATTGTATCATTTCATCTTTCTGCTTTGTAGTATTGTTGGTCTCTATCGAAAGACTTCCGTTAAAATGACTACAGAAAAAACTGTACTAAAAGGCTATTATACTGTTATTTTTAATTCATAAAAATAAAAAGAGAAAACTAGTAACATTTGTTCTCAATTTTTAGAACTTCTTGCAACTCGGTACTCGGCCTTAAGTCTCTTTCGAAATTTCTGTAGGTAACTTGGCCTCCCACTTATGGACCTTGTTTCAACTTGGTTCGATCTATCAGGGGGCCAACGACGTTGCAAATCAAAAATGTCAAGGAAGGTATACTATCAAGAAAAATAATTCGGAGAATGATGTACGGATTAGCACATTTATTTATTGAACAACCTAGTGTATGATGTTAGGTATGTCAAGATATTCACATGTATTCATTTTGGGTGACTGCATGTTAACTCTATTTTCATTCTCAATTTTTATAAATGTAACAAATGTATCTTCAACCTTTTTTTTACATTATCCATCCGGCCATTCAATTATATAGAAAAGTCGTCATTCCCTCCCTTTTGGCCATTGGACCTATCCTTTTCTTTAACAAAATAAACATAAAAGAAATCAATAAAACCAACGAAGAATAAGGAAAATTGCAAATGGACTATCATAAATTTTCGAAAGTAAAAATAAATCACACCTAAAACGATTATATGCAGACATAGACATGCATAATTCTAGTTGTAGCCTCAATAAGTGACGCAACCATTAGATGGCGTTTTCAATTGTTGTTTTCGTCTTGTCAAGTTATGTCTCCATAGTTGCATTTTCTTTGTTAGACCACTATATAAGTTTGTCTTTAGTTTTTAGCATATTGTTTTGTAAACAAGTTGGTCTAGTCATCTTTCCATACATTGATAGGTTCATCTCATACCATCGAGACTCCGAACCACCCGTCCTCCGTTACTCGTGTGTGTCCCCATTGCACATGTTTTGACATTTGACTTGATCATCATGTTTGGGACTACAGGGACACGTTTTACGGTTTGACTTAGTCATCATTTTTGTGACTACATAGGACATGTTTTAATTTTTTATCTAGCTAGTCGTCATTTCACTTGTTTAGCCTAATTAAATTATTTTAATGGTAAAATAGTTAAGTATTTTCTCCAACAAACTCATGTAGCACATCTTCTCGGGTCCTTTATTCTATAAGGAAATGAGTTGTTACATATCGGAGGTGGTTATAATGAAAAAAGCCATTTATATATATATATATA